AATCCGGGACAAAATAAATTTTCACTTAGAAAACGATGGGTTAATAAAGGACAGCCAACACGGGTTTGTTAAAGGTAAGTCATGTCTAACAAACCTGATAGAGTTTTTTGATGAAGTAATGGAGAGGGTGGATGAAGGTAGTGCAGTTGATGTAGTTTATATGGATTTTCAAAAGGCGTTTAATAAAGTGTCACATAAGAGACTTGTCAGCAAAATAGGAGCCCACGGTATTGGAGGGTCAGTACAATTTCCAAGTTTGCAGATGATACTAAGTTAGGAAAAGTAGTAAAGAGTGAGGAGGATAGCAGCAGACTGCAAATGGACACACAGACTGGTAACATGGGCAGACACGTGGCAGATGAAGTTTAATGTGGAGAAATGCAAAGTGATGCATTTTGAGAGGAAGAATGAGGAGAGGCAATATAAGCTGATGGGACAATCTTAAAGGGGGTGAAGGAACAGAGAGACCTGGGGTTCATATAAGTAAATCTTTGAAGGTGGCCGGACAGGCAGATAAAGCTGTTAAAAAAGCCTACGGGATACCAGGCTTTATAAATAGAGCATAGAGTACAAAAGTCAGGAAGTTATGATTAACCTTTATATAAACACTGGTTAGGCCTCAGCGAGAGACTGTGTTCAGTTCTGGGCCCCACACGTTAGGAAGGATGTCAAGGCATTGGAGAGGGAGCAAAGGAGATTGACCAGGATGGTACCAGGAATGAGGGACTTCAGTTATCAGAGGAGGTAGAGAAGCCGGGATTATTCTCCTTGGAGCAGAGAAGGTTAAGAGGAGACTTAATAGAAGTTTTCAAAATTATGAGGGGAATTGATAGGGTGAACAAGGAGAAACTATTTCACTGGGTGGGTCGGTAACCCGAGGACACTAATTTAAAATAGTTGTTAAAAGTAACAGAGGAGAGGTGAGGAGAAATTTTTTCACACACCGAGTTGTTTGGATCTGGAATGCATTGCCTGAAAGGCTGGGGGAAGCCAATTCGATAACAACTTTTAAGAGAGAAGTAGATCATTATTTGGGGAGGACAAGTTTGCAGGGCTGTGGGGAGAGCGCGGGGGAGTGGGGTTGATCAGGGATATGGGGAGAGAGCGGGGGAGTGGGGTTGATCAGGGATATGGGGAGAGAGCAGGGGAGTGGGGTTGATTTGGAAGCTTTTTTCAAAGACACGATGGGCTGAATGGCCTCCTTCTGTGCTGTATAATTCTATGATTGTACAGACCACACATAAACCCATTTTAGGACTATTGTGATCAGTTTTGTCCGCACTGCCTTTTAAAAGGCCAATGGGAGTCGGTTTAGATAAGAACAAAGATGATTTCAGGACTTAGGTTTCTTTGTAACGAGAAAAGACTAACGAAGCTGAAAGTGTTCTCATTAAGAAAAAATATAGGGGAGAAAACTACATCAGGTGGAGGCTTATATACCGTGAGACAGAACTAGAAGGTCAAGTGGGACGAGCAATTATGTGGTGTCTTCCTCTCTCCTCCCATTTCCCCCCACACACCCAACCCAGATAGTGGATAAAATGCAAAAAATACTGCATTTGCTGGAAATCTGAAACAAAAACAGAAGTGGCTGGGAACACTCAGCAGGTCAGGCAGCATCTATGCGGAAAGGAAAGTGAGTCAACGTTTCCAGGCCAAGACCCTTCATCAGAACATATAGGATATAAGTCTCGACCTAAAAAATGGTCAATATTGCGTCAAATAACTCCTGAAAAAAATGCCCTGGATAAGCAACTATTTGTGAGGAGTATTGAAGGATATAGGGGATAGGAGAAGATTTACTGGAACAAAAGAAGCACGGTGATTTCTGAGCTCTGCGGAAGGACTATTTCTGTGAAGGAAAGTAGGCCAAGTTTCAACATGGAGATGGGGAAATGAATGTTATTGTAATTTTTTTGTTGTTGGATCACCTTTTGGGATCGAGCAGGTATCCTTACAGAAATTTCCCTGCCGCTCTTACAATGCCATCGTTTGCAATAGATCCGACACGTTTCTTTCAAGGGGGAATAATTGAAATCCAGCAGCAGTATACTACTACCATTAATAATCCTTGCCTTATTTGATACAGCGCCTTATCACATCTTCGAGACATCTCAAAGCGCTTCACAGAAGATACTGTAAAGTAAATTGGCTGTTTATGTGTGGGCAAATCTCGGAAGCCAATTGCGCACAGCAGTGCCCCACAAACAG